GGAGGTGCTGACCTGTCTTACTCTTCTTCATTTCTCTTCTAGCTTCTGTAACCTACGTGTGAAACAATCACACGCTAAGTCTATGACTTAGTGAGGCATAAAAACTTATAATGCACTTTATAACATATATCAATACATGCATGTTCTGTTCTATCATGCTATACCAAATTACATGATTCCCTCATATCATGAAAAATCATATCAGATTAATTACAATAAATAAATACATACGCATAACTCATCATTAACAATTTATCATGTAATCACATACTTTTATGCTTAACCTTTTCAATCAAACACTCTGCACACACAACATCCTATCATTTCTATAACATTTATCATATCACTAACATATATTTGTTTATATCTCTTGATTAGCCCATGTACATATAAATGCTATCACCACAACTCATATATATGTGAGAACTATATATATGTGAGTTTATGGAGGTTGTGCACTAATGCTATCACCACAACTCATATAAATGCACCGAAGTGCCACATAGAATTGCACCGTAGTGCCGCGTAGAATTGCACCGTAGTGCCATATAATAATGTCCATAAGGACCACATATCATTCCTTAAGAATCATATACATATACTAGGGATCAAGTATGTGTCTCACCAGACTTCACACATGTTCCATAGAATACATATATGTCCCGAAGGACCACATATCATTCCTTAAGAATCATATACATATGCCAAGGATCAAGTATGTGTCTCACCAGACTTCACACATGTTCCAAAGAATACATATATGTCCCGAAGGACCACATAGACCCTCAACTCTTGGCATGCCAACTATACCCCTTGCTCTCATGACACATAACATGGGCATTGTCATTTATATCATTTCATATTCATACATGCATTTTAATTATCTTTTATCACATGTCTGATCTCTTATAATCATGTAATCACATAGCTCATGTCATTTCTTGTAAAATCACATATATCATGTAATCCATATAACTTATACACTTCCTCATATGTTCACATGGTTCACATCACATGAATCATATCTTTTCATATAGTTTATGTTTTATTCTCTTATATTCCCACACATGTAATACATATCAGGCATAGTTACACAACTCCTTTCAATATAACTTGCATGTACCTATATTCTTTTCATATACTCACATAGTCATATAGTATAATATTTCATATAACCTCATGAATCAACTCACATGAATACATACTCAAATACTCATAGTTACCTATCACTTAAATTATTCATATTTACCTAATCCATGGTCATATAGCTTCTATCACCAATTCACTTATCTAATCTCTTATTCTCATATATTCATATTTATCATATAACACATAAGTTTTATTGCATATTTATATCTCATTCCTACATCACTAATTCATAATATAATTTACATCATATCATCTACCTTATTCTGTATTTCTTAGTATGCACTTACATTACCTAACCTACATTATACTTATAAACCTGAATATATTACTTCTATTATTTCTTTTATATACAATTTAATCTATTTACTTAATTCAATTCCGTACAACTCTTATAATCATTTCATATCACTCCATAGCTTCTATTATACAACTAATGTATCATAATTTTATTTAAGCATATGAATCTTTCTCCTCTATCTTATTTTATATGCTCATAGTATCACTGAAGTTCAAGTCACCTAGTTAATATATTATTTATGTAACATTTGCTTACTTAGTTCATATCCTTTCTCATAAACTCACTTTTACCATATTCTCATATTATTACTTAAATTATCTCATAACATGTATTCACGTAGTAATATTTCATTTATATATCAAAGATCTTATCACATAACTTATCTTTTATATTCATATAATTTATTATCATATCATATGGTTTATATCATCATAACATATCACACATTCACATCAACCATATAATACATATATACAATACATGTCAACACGTATAAATCATACACATATATACTTCTATTTATGAATTCATGCATTTTACTATGGAAAATAGACTTGTCGCAAGTCTTATTTCCATTTAACATCATATAATACTAATATGCACTCACCTGGCCTCACTAGTCCATTCCAATCTCTTATCTTCCCTTTTTATCGATCTTACTTGTCAATGATTCCGGAACTCGTTTAGGCTCTGAATCTACATAATTATACATTTTAAGACAATTATTAGATACCTAAACCTTGTAATTTGATACTAGCAACCTAAACGAACTTATTAAACCAATATTTACAATTTTCCTTTAGGGGGAATCGGTTCCCTCCTGTGGGGGTATCGGTTCCCCTCTGGCATTCTAGAATTCCATGTTCGTTTGAGGGGGTATCGATTCCCCTTGAATGGGTATCGATTCCCCTAGCCCAGAAATCCTATTTTGAGCTCGAAATTCACTTCATTTCAGCTTAAACCTTCATATTTTACTTCCTTTAATATTCCTAACTTCCATACACATATTTAAACTCATTTCCATTCCATAATCACTTCTTTAAACCCAAAATTCCATCATTTACATGGCATTCAAGAATCACACTAATTTTTCAATGTGTTCTAATTCTAATTCTAACACTTCATACTTCTTAATTAGATTGATGAAAAGTCAAATTCATCCATAAAACTTCAACAACCATACCATATCAAAATTCCATCTTAAAACTCATATTACAAATTCCTTCTTAATTCCTTTATCTTATTGTTTAAATCCCATATAAGCTTTCCTTAAGCTTATTTAATACCCAAAGAATCAAAATCCACTTAATATTTACAGTAAATAACTATAAAAACCCAACTTACCTATTGTAGCTAACCCCACGTGAAGAAGAGAAAGCAAGAAGAAGAAAGCTTCCAAATAGCTCTCTTCCCACGTTTTTTTCACTCTTATAAAAGGGAAAAATATCTTTTAAAGGAAAAAGACCATAATACCCTTAATTTCATTTAATAATTACTAAATAACCTTCATCATATATTTCCAATAATCATTGAATTATTTAATTCTTCTACTTTAGTCACCAACTTCTGAAACTTTTCAATTTAGTCACTAACCTGGTATTGCGGATGTTACAAAATATGTGTGAATCTTTGTGAGGTATTGAGTCATGTTTCATTGAAGTTGGTAATTAATTGTGATATATTGCTTACTTTAAATTTTCTTGGTTGTATCTTTGCTTGATTGTAACTTGAATTCGACAAATATCATGGACTTAGTTTGATTGGAAGTCTGAGGAATAAATTGAAATTAAGATGGCAACTTATGATTTTGATATGTTAATTGATGAATGCTTGAGGATAACCATTGAATAAGTGAGGAGAAATTTGATAAGTGCTTAATTTAGTTAATATTTTTCTTTTAAATTACTCCTTAATCATTTGTTTTTGTGGCTTAATTGTTCGTTTTGATTCATTTTCTGTGCAGGACGTCAGATTCTGGAAATTGCACAAAAAGGATAGAATTCTGTAGTTTTTTTATTTTCGGAATCGAAGATGGATTAGTGGGCCTGAATTCAGACATGAAACATCCGACGAGGCGATGATGTCAGCACCTTCTAGAAGATCCAATCAGCGTTTCTAGAAGCACTAATGGATTGACCTCATGATTCTAGAATTCAGATTTGGATTAAACTCAAGTTTTAGGATAATATATTAAACATTTTATTTTATCTTTGTTTTAGGTATTTTAGTTTAAATATGTTTTAGTATTTTAATTAAGTTTTAGGATATTATTTTTATATTTTATCTTTGTTTTAGGTATTTTAGTTTAAATAAGTTTTAGTATTTTAATTAGGATTTAGAATATTATTTAGAATATTATTTTTGTTTTAGGTATTTTAGTTTAAATAGTTTTTAATGTTTTAATTAGGATTTAAGATGTTTTAGCTTGTTTTTAGGAATTTGAAGGCTATAAATACCCTCTCGGGGTAAGCCTAGAAACATATCTCTCTCATTTGAGAATAAAATCTTCATTTTTCTCTCTAGCTTTCTCTTTATTTTCCACCTAATTCTTTCTTTCTTTTAGAATTTCGTTTTCAAGTATGCTAAGTACGACATTGGTCATGCTTAGCTAATTTTCTTTTAAGCCGAAGGCTAAAGCAAAGGCTCAATTCTAAACGTGAGAATTGTAAGGCATTTAAATCGCTTCGGGATTTTTCTCTCTGTTTTCCGAGCTTACTTTTCAAATCAAAACGATTTTGACATTGGTCCGGATGTTGTTATGATTAACGTTTGAAGAATGATTTGCTTATTGAAGCATACTCGACTTCACATGAACACACTTAGCAAGATTGTTTGTTAAGAGAAAACCGAGATCGTAATCAGTTATTGTTGAAACGACACAATCCGAGTTGGCAACGAAGAATTGTCCTTGTAAGCCGACGTAAATCTTGAAGTAAAAATATGTTTCGATGTTCCGAGGAATTTGAGACAAAGCTGAAGTCTGAGGCTGCTTTCACTATAAGTTTCTCTTTATCTCAATCTCTTTAATTTGTTTATTTAATTATTTTCCTTTATTTGATTATTATATTTTATTTTAAAAAAACTTATAAAAACCCCTTTTTTATCTTTACTACTATTATTTATTATTTTATTATTTTCCCTTTTTATTTATTATTATTTATTTTATTATTATTATTTTTAAAATTATACTATTTTTTTATTATATCTTTTCAACTTCATCTGGAATTCTACCCTCCTCTAAATCAAAGAGTTTTATTAAATCACAAAAACCATAGTCCTTGTGGATCGACCCTGCTTCTCTAGAGTACATTTTCCTTTCTATTTATTAAGAAGCCAAAATTATTTTGATAGCAAAACGATGACTATCAAATTTCAATCATCATAACATCAAATTAAATCCAATTTCAACTAATTTCCATAAACCCTAAGTTGACCAAATTGATTATAAGCATTTCTACTTGATTTTAATCATCACAAAGGCTTGGAAATTATTCTACAACACTAAAAACATAAAAACCATCATTTAATTCTTCATCAGGTGTTGGCATTGGTAGTGAGATGTCTGGAGGGATTTTTAACGTCACTATCGAAGATATGCATGTTTGGAATTCAGCAGCTGGGGTCCGTATAAAAACCGACAAGGGAAGAGGGGGATACATTGCAAATATTACCATAAGCAATGTAACGATGGAACGAGTCAAAAATCCTATAAGCTTATTAGTGGCTCTGATGATCTCCCTGATGACGGATGGGATCCTAAAGCCATGCCTAAAATAAAGGGGATTTTCATTAGTAACATTGTTAGTTTGAATTCAACAAAGGCTCCAGTATTAGCCGGTATCTGCAACGCATCTTTCAAAGGGATATGCTTAAAGAATGTTACCTTACTTGGACTTTCCCCAACTACAGCATGGCACTGTGAGTTAGTTTCGGGTTGTGCAGATGCTGTGTTTCCATTGCCGTGTCCCTACTTGAAGAACAATGGCTCCTCCACATGTTGCTCACAGGTTCAAGTTTTGCAGTAAGTTCCTTCCCAAGGGCATGGAAATTTCACCCATGGCCGCGGGTACTTTGAGTAAAGTGGAATCTAAAGGTGAATCATATGAAAGGCATGAAAAGAGTTTCAGTTGTTCATGAAATTGGGGTGTATGGATGGAGGGGATTGTCCAATCTTGTGACATTAGATATGAGATTCATGTATACTGCAATTTTGACAAAATATAGTAATATTCATTAAACAGTTGAGATTGCTTGGGTTGACAGATTTGTCTGGTTCCGATTGTGTTACAAATATGGTAGATTAGGGTTGATCTATTTGTAACAAAATGTGTCATGTATGGTGGTATATAGTATTAACTGATATCTTATAGGAATAGGATACATAGATTATGGTATTTGCATAGTTAATGATTGTGGATGACATGATTTATTGAACCCATGGAAAAATAAGATAACCACGCATCATCTGGAAACTGTTTGACTAGTTTAAGCAGCAGCGTAACAATGCACAGAAAAATGAGAAGAATTAGATAAATGGTTTTAAGTGAAAATTACATTAGGGATGTCATCACCATTTCCAGAACACATTGGAGCCGCACATGTATTTGTCTTTCTCTTCACACTCCAAGGCCAAAATCATCAGAGAAGAAGGGCACTTTCTGCATCCACCAAACAAATTCTTAACCAAATATCATGTCATCATCATCAACCAAATCTTCTGGAAAAAACTAAGAGAATGAGAATAGTCGAACCTTTTGCTTTGCAAGATCCTGGCATCCAGTAAAGTTCTCAGGGAACTTGCAGCTGTCAAATTGAACAGTGTATGCTCTCGCAAAGTTTGCTCCGCTTGTGGCCAACCTCTTATTGTCATTCAATTCCTGCGTTTTCCCATCTTATTCTATGTAAAAACTACAATAAATCACCTAAGTTTTCAGTTGTCATAGAAAACATACCTTGTTAGTGTAGACACCCGTTTTTGTCCGGGTTTTTTTCCGTTATTTTATTATTATTATTATTATTATCGTTATCTTATTATTTTATTATTATTTATTATTACAATTTTTTTTTTTTTGCAGGCTTAGAAGCCCAATTCAGATTACAGAGGCCCAATAACCCGAAGCCCAATTGGCCCAGAGACCCGAAGCCCAATTCAGATTAGGGTTTTAAACCCTAAAACATATTAGGGTTTCAAACCCTAATCCCCTTCCAGCCGCCATGTGACCCTTCTCTGCCTCAGCGCCGCCACCATCACTGTTCCGATCTGACCCCAACTGTTGCACTATTATCATCTACAGCAAAACCAGTCAAGAAAATATATCACATACAGTTCAAATCTCACAAAATCTAAACTCCAAATTAAAATACCAATAAATCCCTAAATATTCGGGATTTCTATCCTACCAAATCAGAAAAAGCCAGGCTCTACCTAGATATCATCATCATCTCACCAGAAATCCGGGGCAAGCAAAGATAAAAGAAGAGAAAAAAAGAAAAGCAAGGGGGGACAGAAAAAAAGAGAAAAAAACATCCATTCGAAAAAAAATAAAAAAAGAGAGAGATAGAGTAAGAATCTTACCCTGGTTTTCGACCACCACCGTTGCTTCATCGGAGCCAAGCGTCCCTCGCCGAAGGTAAAAGAAACTTGTCTTTTTTTGGGGCTTGTTGGGTTTGAAATCAAAGGATTTATTTGGGTATTAGGTCAGTGTAGTGAGTGGATCTAAGGTCGTAGAGAACCTTCTCTGGGTTTGGGATACTCCCCGTGGCCACCGTTCTACGGTGGCCGGGGAGTTAAGGCCTCTGTTTAGGCGAGGGAAGAAGGAGATGTGAGAAGGGAGAGGAATAGCCGAACGGCTGAGGAAATGAGGGGGAGAGTATATGAGTTTAGGGTTTCAGAATAACCCTTAAAAGGGTTATATTTCAGACGTCGAACGGCGTCGTTTTGAAGCATGAGTGAGGCCGAGTGATGGGATTAAGGGCTAATAGCCTATTTGGTCCTCTTACCTCTGTAATCTTGCACGCGTGTCCTTAGCATTTATGGGTAAACAACAGTTTAGGTCCCCCAAGCTTCTGTAAGGGTGTAATCTGGTCACTAAAGGAAATCCATGCGATCTTATTTCGAGCCTATAGTTTTATTTTGTTTTGTTTACATCACTAGTTTATATATTATGTAGGTTTTATGATCTTCGAATTTGGACATGTAATTTATGTTTTTCTTCATTTTGGTCACTGGACTGGTTATTGTTAATCTTTCTGAAAGTTTAGACATTATACCCTTTATTTATGAAACTTTTATTTTGATCACTACTATCATATTTTGGGTTAAATTTCGATTAATGTCTGTTTATTTTACTTTCATTATATTTTAGTCCTTATCTGTTTATTATTACATTTTTATTAGAGTTCGAATTTGGCCATATTATTTTATGCATGTTTCGTTTTAGTCCTTGTTTAATATTTGACTTAATTGTGGTTTAGTTCTTTATGTTTTTTTTTCATTTCATTTTAGTCCTATACATGATTTATGGGCTATTTTTAGCTTAGTACATATGCTATTTAGTTTTTTAGTATGAACTCTGATTTATCTGAAATTGCTATTTTAGTTTTTATTTTCTGTTTCTTTCATTGTAGTCCTTTAAGTTTCTGATTTTACCATTTTTGCTCTTTGAGTTTATGTGTTTGTTATTCTAGTCCTTTTACTTGCTTTTTGATCATTTTATCTTGGTTTACAATATTTACTTATTTTCATTGTAGTCATTTATATATGAATTTATTATTTGGTTATTTGTATTATGTAAATAATGTTGTTTGTTTCATTTAATGTAAAGATTCTACTTCGCATATTTTATTTATATTTATTTCCATTGTATTTCTCTATTGTATATTATTCGAATAATTTCAAGAACACATATTTATAGAACGGGCGTGGAAAGTATCACTGGATCGAAGTGGTACAATCCGATACGACGTTCAAACTGAATAAATAAAAATGCAAATTCTTCCTTTTACAAGCTTATAGAAATTATTTTTATTTTTATTATTTTTTGATTAATTTATTTGATGGTCATATTGTTTAATATTTAAATTTTAATCTTTATTATTATTTCTTCATTGAATCTTAATATGAGTGATGTATGTTTTGGAAAAGTATAATATGATGTATTTTATGTCAATTTTCATCATTATCTTTTAAGTTAAAGAGAAAATATTCTTTACAAGTAAGAAATAGACGAGGTAGCTTTCCCGGCGGAGGATTGCAAATCTCGAGATTTCTTATCGAGAAAAGGATTTTTTTATTTTAACTAATATTCAATAAATAAATCATAATTTATTTATTATTCTATTTTCATAATTTTTATTGTATTAATGGTTGTTATGTCAATATTAACGATACATAAATTAAGCATATTGTATTTTCTACTCATGACGATATTATTTAGTGGTAATTCAAAGATAGGATATACTTTATAGATAAGAAATAGATGAGATAGCTTTCCCGTTGGAGGATTGCAAATCTTGAGATTTCTTACCAAGTGAAGTATTTCTATTATTTTAATTTTAACAAATATTCAATAAATAGATCATATTTTTTACTTCATATTCAAATTGTAATTTCCACCATTTACGACGATGTGTAAGCTACACAGTACCAATTTTGGGCGTTGTGGGGCGTTTACCCTTCCCCACACGTAACCGACTCCCGAACCTGTTTTAAATGAATCTTTGGTAACGTAGACCAAATTTTTGTCTTATAAAATTATTTTTCTTAAAATTGTTTTTAAAGGACGTTTTTAGGTATTCGACCTACCTAACCCAAAGGTCGATGGCGACTCTTTTCAATCTTATTCAAATCCACCAAATTTTCCAAATTAAAGTTGTAATCGTTTTTTTAAAATAATACTTAATTGTTTTAAAAAAAAATGGTTATGACAGCTTGGCGACTCCACTGGGGACGTCTAGAGAGTCAGGCTGTCGGTCGCTTATATATGGTCGTTATGGTGGAAATTATAAGTTCGAACCTTTAGTAAAACTATGATCTATTTATTGAATTTATGTATTATTTTTTTTATTTACTAACATTTCAATTATTTTCATTTTTTTTCAGATATTTCTTAATTCTCGTTGGGTGTTATTTTTTATTTTTCCTGTTTTTGAGTCAAAGGTTTGTTTGTTTCTCCTCACACACATCACTTTCATTAGCATAACATGAGCTCTAGATATGAGTTTTGATCCAAATTAGTTAGGGTGATTGCTTTACTCTCGTAAGAATTTATTCTTCGTATGAGTTTTGGCAAATAACCCATGGGATACATACCTTATACCTTCGTAGGAATTTATTCCTCGTATGGGTATAAGGCAGTGAATCCCCTCGAATTGAACTCGGTCCGTTTGAAACCTGTAATGGGTGAGGATTGAGGGTTTGGTAGCCCAAGGGGGCACTGACATCAAGGACAATTCGAGTTCCTTTTTTTCCTGTTAGAGCTGAAACCATGCATATAGTGAACCATAGAACGGTCACACTAGGTAGAGTCATACTGAACCTCTGTCCGTCAATAGGTACCCAAAATAGGCGTACACAATGGAGAAACCCTCTAACCTTTTATTTTATTTTATTTATTTATTTTTGAGTATGTAGAATAGATTTATTCTGTTAAAGCATGTGAAATAGAATTTAGGTGCAGTTAGAATTTAATTAATTTAGGAGGGTAGAGAGCATGTTTGGGTAGGACCCTTTTTGAGGAATATTATTCGGGTAGATAATACATAAATAGAATAGATTTATTTCCCGTTTTACATATCTTTTTATGTTAAATTTATACAATTGTTTTGACTAACTGTTTTGTTTGTTTTGTTTATTTTTTTCGTACTGCATAGACATATCATTAGAAAAGGCGATTGATCTGTGAGTATCGATAAAGTGGAAAGACTTTCACGATGGAAAGGAGTTTCCTAAACAAAGAAGTGAATCCAGCAGATGTAAGGAACTGGTCCGAAGCCAAGCAGAAAGAGCAGGGAGATAGTCTATCAGGGAACTACGTGTCGGATCTGTCTGATTATACACCAGCTTCTTTAAAACAGAATGAGCTTCAGGGATTGAAAACAATTTGGGAAAGTTGGAATCTTATTGAGAGGCAAGCTTTTCAGCAGACTTATGGGGATATATTTCATCTGATATACGTGAAGGTAGATCCGGTTCTCATACGAAGCATAATACAGTTTTGGAATCCGGCCTATAGTTGTTTCACATTCAACCGAGAGGACATGACTCCAACCCTCGAGGAATACCAATTTCTGTTGAATTTGACAAGCGTTAAAGTGGACAAAGTTTACTCCCGGTCGATAAAAGGGCCTTCCTTTAAGTCAAAGCTTGCAAAGATCTCGGGCACAAGCGACAAATGGGTAAATGATCGCTTGCAACGCAAGGGAGAAAGTGAGGGAGTGCCGTGGTCTCACTTACAAAAGATAGCTGAAGCACATGTAGATGAAAACGTGCGTAGAGATGTATTTGCTTTGGGTATATATGGTTTGGTAATCTTTCCAAAATGTTTGGGGCTGATCGAGCTAGCAGTAGTCGATTTGGTTGAGAAGTTAGGAAGAGAGGTGAATCCAGTCCATGCAATTCTTGCTGAAACTTTCCGATCTTTGAATATATGTAGAAGGTTGGGGGGAGGTCATTTTATGGGTTGTGCTCAATTGCTTACTGTGTGGATCAGAAGCCATTTCTGGAAGGAAGAAAAGGTCAACTATAACCGTTTTTTGAAAGATTATTCTCCCGTTGCTGAGTACCTTACGAAGGAGTGGCCTGAAGTATCTCAGAAAGATCAATGGATTGATTTCTTCCGGAATCTACAAAGTCAAAACATAGCATGGCGAACCCCGTGGCTGATGCATACA